TCTGTTCTTGTGCAGTTGTGAGATCGTTTAATACTCGACAGCTAATCAATGAGTTGATTGATTGTTGCAGCTTTAATATTAATCAGGCCTCGTTTAGTCGCTGCTCCTACAAACTGGAATGTTTCTGGAACAGTTCTGGAACGTGCTGGAGGCGACGAACCAGAGCCAAAAGTCAGGATTGGTTCAGCTGGCAGCATTTAAATTGGAGCTTTTCTGGATGGAGTTTGGTTTGATGAAGGTTCCTGCAAAAACATGACGCCCGCTGTCGATGAATCTGACGGTTAGAGGGTCAGAAAACTGTCCATCAGACGCCTGATTGGTCCAAAGATGTGCTAGAAACGAATGGACCGCACGGACAGAGAACAAAATAAATCCCAAACTAAGCAGCTTTTCCTCAGACCAACAAGACGTTTATGATGCCTTCATGCCACACACAGTTCTGCTGCACAAAACGTGGATTCATCCGCCGCTGAAAGTAGTCCCCAGAGCCCTTCTCTCCCCAACGGACAGCCGCTGTCACAGAAGTCTGTCGGTGGCGCAGAGAAAAAAGCATTTACTGAATAAATCACTCATAAATAAATGTTCTGCAGCGTTCAGGAAACGTTAGCAGCTTTTGGTTTCAGCTTTTGGAGCTGCCGTGCTAGGTGCTGCTGCCACTGGGAGCAGCTTCAGGTTCAGCGTCTTGCCCAAAGACACTTCAACTGTGGAGGGGATGGAACCGCCAGCCTTGCGACTGGAGGACAGCCCGCTGTACCACCTGAGCCACAGCCGCCCACTTTCCTGGTTTGGGTTGAAACCGGGACTTCCTGAACTCGGAGTGAAGAAAGATGCCGTTTTCATGAAGCTACGTCGGCTTGTGAAGAACAATAATTTAAATCAGCCTGCTGCTGGCATCAGCACCGTCACACTGAACCTGTTCTATGGCTCTGGTCCGGGTAGTTCTCTGCTGACCAGGTCCTTGCTGGTGCTGGATCTGCTCTCAGACGTAGGGTGCTTTGGATGAAAGCGTCTGCTGATGAAACCGTAGGACTGAGTTTGGTTTTAAACGAGCTGCGGCTGGAGTTTGGACGGAGGTTGAGCCCGGTATGGTGCTGACGGGGCGATTTATGGAAGCCATGTTTAGAACTTGACCCGAATCAGTCGTTTCTGTCGCGCATCCAGCAGCTCTGACTGCGTCCACATACTTGTGGCGAAGTGTTGCTGGTTGGGAAGAGGAGGATGATGGGTAACGAGTAGCGAGGCCATGAGGTCATCGGAGCGTGAGAGGGAGATGATGTGAGGCTGGTTGGTTTCTGGATTCCAACTGGCGTTTGAAGGGTTAAACATGAGAGTACGTACACGTGGTGGTTCTGGTCCGGACGGTTAAACATGTACTCGGTGAAAATGGAAACAGCAGCAACGTGTTTTATGGTTCCGGCAGTTTCTGGACTCGTTTCTGCCTTCAGGGTCCTAACTGTCAGTTCTAATGTAGCGCTACGGAGATAAAATCGCACCGCGGGCGATGTTGTTGAGACTTAATGACGAATCAAATTACAGCCCCTTAGCAGTTAGCATTTAGCACTTAGCATTTAGCACTTAGCATTTAGCACTTAGCACAGGACGTCAGGTCAGACGCTGGTTCAGAAGTTTAGACGTGAAGTGGAACATAATGACAACAACACTTTGTCAGGCGGGTGTTTTCTGTCTCAGACGTTTTCTCTTCGGTGACTCTTCGTGGTTAATGACATGGAAACGTCTGAATGAGTGTATATTTGGACAAACGGGGCACGATGTGAGCAGAGTTGTGTTTTTGTGGCAGGTTTGTGTCTTCAGGGATCTCTAACTCCTCACGCTGATGCAGCCGGCGTGTCGGTGGACGACAGAAAGACGATCAGAGCTGTGAGCAGCGATCGTCGGCCGTCGCTCTGGGCGGGACTCTGCTCCGGACTCTGATCCGGCATGTCGGCCCGATCGGAGCACGTCCCGTTTTAGGGCGTTTCAGCGGAGCCCCGTGGGCCGCCATTTTGACTTTGAACCACCCCGTCCTGTAGCTTGTGCTGGACAGACTGCAGGTGTGTACGGCGTTCCCTCTGACAGGAGATGGACTTGGAAAAGGCCGCGGCGCCGTGGCGTCAAACGGACTCAGTCACTGGAACGCTTGACGAGGAAAACGTGACTCTGAACGAACGGATCTCAGCTGTGAGCGGTTTGCTCTCGAGGACCGAACACTTCTCTGGATTCGTGTCCTCTGATGCGCCTGATGCTCGGTGGAGCGGAGGACATCTCATCGCTCGCTTGGTTCTGGTCCGTCCTGAGGCTTCAGTCCGACCCGCCTAAAGCGTCGTCTCTAATCACGTCACATCCCGGAGACGCTCCGACCAGGGCCCGCTTTGCTCCGCTCCAGCACACCCGACTTGTTCTACGTCCTGTTGTTGCCGCAGAAACTTTTCCAAGAATCCAGAGAAGTTCAGCTGCTGGCCTGTTGGGGCTGGCTGAGGGCTCAGGCTACTTCCTGGGAGCTCTGGTTCCTGTTGTCCTTCCAGCTATTCACTGATTACAGGGACGCTCGGCTCGCCTGTCATTAGCAGCTCTAATTGGCTGGTCTGCAGGCCGCCGGCCAATCAGCGTGTGTGTGTGTGTGTGCGTGTGTGTGCGTGTGTGCGTGTGTGTGTGTGTGTGTGTGTGCGTGTGTGCTGCAGCCACACGCTGAATACCTCCTTCATGTCCGTTCATGTTCCCCAGAGGAAGAATCCTTCACCTGATTCTGGTCCTCATGAGGCCAAACGACAAAAACCACACAAAGGAGACCCACAACAGACACACAATCACAGAAATGTGACACGGAACAGGAAACAAGACACAAAATGACACGACAGAGACAGAAAGTGATGCAAACGAGACCGAAACAGACAAAAGACCCCAGAGAGGAGACAGACGGCGACAAACGACTCAGACCAGCCTGAACGCAACAAACTACAGACAACAGCGGGCAGACTCATGGTTCTGAGCCGACCCGGTTCCCCCGCCCAGCCTCTGGAGTGATCGGTGTGTTCTGCTGGTTTCAGATCTGTCGGAGAAGAAGAGCGATCTGAGGGTTTGTGACGCCGGAACGTGTCGATTCGGAGGAAGCTGCCGCGAGAACGGAGCCGACATCAAGTGTGTGTGTCAGTTCCACGTAAGTAAC